CTGGTCTCACAACAATCCTCCTGCCCCAGTGTCCCAAGTGCTGGGATTACAGGTGTGCACCATCATGCCTAGCTTCTTCTGTGCATTTTTGCCTGTTAGTTACCTAGATTCTCTTGGACTTTACATAGTTTCTTGACTGACATGCTTAACTTATTTTTAAGCTCAGTTATTTTTTTTAAATAAAGCATGTTTCATAACGCATTGTATAATGTGTAGTTTTTGATTTATCATTCTTTTTTTAAATGTCTAAGACTTCAACTGTGTTCTTCTCTTTAACTCAAAAGTCAAAATAGCCCGGGGACACAGCTCAGCAGCATAAGCGCCTGCCTGGCAAGCATTCGATCAGTACCAAAAATCAAAACAGCACCCAAAAGTCAGGGGAAAATAGAACATTGGAGGAAGAAGCAGAGATGTGTCCCAGAAAGTTCCTAGGGTGACCTTAGTACTTCTGCTATCATCTTCTGCCTAGTTCAGTACAGCTTTAGTTGAAAGCTCCATATGAATTCTGGCTTAGTTTCAAAAAGAATTGTGTAAAATTTAGAGTTGTCCCCCAAGTGGAAAGAACTGTCTTTTAAGTGGTTTCCCCATTACCAAGGTGTACAAGCAGAAGAATGAGTATTTACATGGCAAAGGTATGCCGAAGAGATTCAATCACAGGGTGGATAAATTACTTTTAAGATATTTCTCACTGTTTGCATCCCATCATATAATTTAGCCTACTATAAAGTACGACAAATGGTGGCACAAAACTATTTTTAATTCAAGTCAACCCCCTACTGTAATGAACTCCATGGGAAAGCAAGAATGCTTTATTGAAATATAATTGTGTTAAAATTAATAGTTTGCTTAAAACCACACTCCTAATCTGCAGGAATTGTAGAATAAACAGAGATGAGACCAATTTTCTCTATAGTTTATTAATAAGGCAAAAGAAAGAAAAAACAAGGCGAGGCACCCTAAGCCCTTCCTTCCAGTTCTTGGGTGTCTACCAGTTCTGAGTCTTCTCATTAGACAGTTTGGGCCCTGGGGTTAATGGCTGGGATATTTTACTTTTGGTGCTTTAAAAATCTTTTTATTTTTACTTTTTAATTTATTTAGTATGGGTCTTGCTACTCAGCGTAGACTCATAGTGATCCTCCTGTCTCGGCCTCCCCATCACTGGGATTACAGGGGTATGCCACCATGCCCAGATTCCAGTGGCTGGCTCAGCACTGGACCACCAGAACATGCAGTACTGGGGGTCAAACCCAGACCCTTTTGGTTGACAGGCAGGTGCTTAGACCACCAAGCTTTCTCCCCAGCTCATGGCTGGGATATTTGAAGCATAGGTTTTTTGGGTTTGGGAGTTTTTATTTTTTTTCAACTGAACCAAGGTCTTGTTATACAGCCTCCAACCCATGCATCTCCTGTGTCAGCTTCCTCAGTGCTGAGATTACAGGCACGTGCCACCAAATTCTGCTGAAAGCCAATGTTGTTTGAAAGCACAATACGAAAATTACACTTATTCAGCTATAGATCAAGTGATTTCCTAATTTTTTTCCATTATTTCTGCTTCTATACCTTTCTCAAGACAAGGTCTACGTGGGATTCCAGCTCATATCCTCAGGAACTGAATTGGCCGCTGAGGGGACTGGTGCTCTTACATTCTAGTAAGATACAGATAAAAGATTTGCTGTCCTAACATGTTTTTGCATATGAGCTATTGTATTTTCTTTGTCTGAATTTTTGGTTTGCTCTGATTTACTATGACTTCTGGTGTCAGACTACTGCCCGAATTCTTACCCAGGGCTCTAAATGAGGTGGCTCTAAATGGACAGATTTCAGCAACCCCGCCTTATTTCCACACTCAGTTTAGCCCCCTAGTTACTGTCTTCCAGCCCTCTCCTGATAAAGGTACGCCAAATATTGTATCGGAAACTTCCTCACATCAGTGGCCTGGTGAAGCCTTTTCTCCCTCATCTTTTTAACTAGTGGAATTTTAACTCCATTTTAGATAACGACCCTGTTATCTACTAATTTTATAAAAGCAAAATGAATTGATTGGTCAATGACATGGATGGGTGTTTTTCTAAAGAAAATTACTATGAAAGGCTGGCCAGATAGTTCAGCGGACTAAATGACCTGCTTAAACAGAGTGCAGCAGCCAGGGTTCGATCCCTGGCGTGCATGCCACCCCACCCCCAGGGCACACTGAGATGGCGAATGAGACTGGGTGTGGTGGTGCACACATATAATTCCAACACATGGAAGGCTCAAAAACAGGAGGATCACTACAAGTCTGATCTACATAGTGAGACCCTGTAGGCCCTATAGACCCTGTACTAAGTACATAAAAATGAAAATTACTATGACATGGGTCTAGTGACACACACCTATAATCCCAGCACCCTGGAGGCTGAGAGGGGTGATTATTATGAGTTCAGGCCAATTTGTTCTACACTGAATTCAAGATCAACCTAATCTACATAGAGAGTTTAAGGTTAGCTTCAACTATGTCTTAAGACCCAGCTTCTAAAAGACAACCAAGGAAGAATGAAAGAAGGAAGAGGAAGAAAAGAAAGAGGAGAAAAGGCTGCTATGAATAAATCATTTTAAACATGAACCCAGATGATGATCCAACTGCTTCGTCTATTGAAACTCTACCTCCACCCTGACTATAGTCGCAGAATTTGTAGCCCCAAGTGTCATTGCTTTAATTTGGGGATAAAATAAAATACCTGTGTTTATGCAGGATGATTGTGGGTTAATTAAACTATGATAAAGATACATGATTTTACATGAATAAGAGAATAAAACTTTAAAAAGCAGTGTAAGAGATCTCAGCAGACTAACAAGCATGGCAGTGGACGTCTATAACCCCAACACTAGGTCCTAGCCTACTCTAGCAGGCTCTCTAGCCCCTAGGTCCTCGCAGGGGGCCCTGTAGCTCCTAGGTCCGAGCCAGCTTATGAATGTAAGTTCGAGGCCAGCCTGGACTACATAGTCAGACCCTGAACGAATCGCAAAAAGAGCATGGGAGCAATGCCGGGGAGATATCATGCTCCAGTTCTTAGGTGACTGGTACACATATTTTCATATTTATCACTCTGGAATCCATGAGAACTTTAAAGATAGGAATTGTTTTTTGCACAGCCTTCTATTCCAAGTACTCAGCACAATGTCAGATGCATTATAGACCCTCAAAATAGATTTGTGGAATGAAGGCACTTATGTTTTCTCCGGTCCTTTGAACATAATTATGTTTCTCTGACACCATGTCTAGCATTCTGTAATTTTCTTCGTCTATTCATTCAATAAAACTTGCTTAGCACCTAGTCTGTTGCCAGACCCTGTTCTATACACTGGAACTCAGTGGCAAAAATCAAGAAAACTCTCACTGTTATACAGTTTATGTTTAATTGGAGAAACAATCATCAAACAAACGTATTAGAAAATATGATACAATGTGAAACATTAATTAACACTGTACATATGAAGCTTTTGGGGGGACAGAGGGTGGCAAGTGGCTGCTATTCTGGGGAGGAAATCTGTGTTTGAGCAGGGATCTAAGGAGAGAGTGGCCTGCAAATAGTTGAGAGCAGAGGCTTCCAGCAGAAAGAACATCAAACGCAAAAGCTTCGAGACTCCTGTGAGCACGGCGCATTTGGGGAGCAGCAACTGAAACAAAATGAGCTAAGAGACTCATAGAGCTGGGCATGTGGGAACACGCCCACAATCCCAGCACTTGCGAGGCTGATGCAGGGAGCTTGTCATGAGCTTAAGGCCAGCAATGGCTACATAGCGAGTTCAAGGCCCATCTGAACTGCAAATCGAGATCTTATCATCAGAAAAAAAAGTCACAGAAATTAGGTCAGAAGAGAAGACAGACACCTAATCATCAACCATTCTAAGCCACTGTTAGAATTTGGATTTTTTTTTTTTTTTTTTTTTTTTTTTCAAAGAGAGCCAGGAAGATTTGTGAGTCAGGGCATGAAACAAGACTTGTACTTTATAGGCTCCTTTCTCTGGTTGTCTCTGGAATTTCCCAGGTGAGTGATGACATGGGCAGTAGGTAGGAAGAGGGAAAAGATTACATGTGCCCAGGAAACTGCCACAGTGCCCAGCTACAGCTGTGGGGTTGGCTAGTACCTAGAAGGTTAGAGGTCCTGCTGGAGTTGGCTAGGAACTAGGAGCTAGAGAGCCCACTACTAGGACGTAGGAGCTAGAGGGCCCGCTGAGGGAAGAGTTTATTCTAAAATATGTTACAGATGGGTACAGAATGGTTTCTAGGTAGGGGTAGGTGAGCTGTGGGATAAGCAAAGAGTAACTCTAAGGCTGGTGACCAAGGCAGCAGCAAATAGGGTCAGGGCTGGCAGGGCAGTATCACACAGACCAGGAAGAGCTGGGCTGCTACCTGCATAAGAAAGTCAGGGGGCACTGGGACAGTGAGTCTCATGGGAAATGCCACCTGCGTACGGGGCTTGAGTGTGGTTGGAATACAGGTTGACGAGGTGTCTCATGATTAATTTGTGTCAGAAGCCAAGAAGTCGGGGTTAGGGGAACAACACTGAGAATTGCCTACTGGGTTTGGCTGTCTGAGATGTTGCCTGTGACTCTGGTGAGAGGTCTCTCTAACTGCAGTGACACCGACAAAAGCCCAAGCAACAGAAGATAGAGGAAGAATGGAGGAAATAGAGAGGACATGTAGAGGCAGTCCCTTTATTTCACTCTTGCTAAGTAGGAAATGAGGAAATGTATCCCAGTTTTGTCTTTTCCTTTTTCATACTGGAAATTGAACTGGGGACCTTGTATTTGCCAGGAAGTTGCTGTGCCACTGAACTATATCTCCAGGCCTTGTTTGTCCATTTTTGTAATTATTATTATTAGTTCCTTTTGTATGACTTTGCAGTAAGACTAAATTCTTTTTTATTTTCCAATACTGAGAATTGAACCAACGGCCTTGGTACTGAGCTACCTCCCCTTTTTTATATATTTTATTTTGAGACAGGGTGCTACAAAGTCACTCTGAAGCCCAGGCTGCTGGAAGTTGTGATCCTCCTGGAGGGCTGGGATTATTCACCTCTGTATGAACAGATTCTAACACTAATAGCTATGCAATGAACCAATGACCAAGTCACACGGCATACTGAGTGGCAATGCATTTTATTTGTATGGGAAATACTAAGGAAGAAAACTGTGGAGTGCCAGACTTAGAAAACAAAATATAAACAGCTGACAGCAATGGTACAGTTTTCTGCCGGGGCTGATGCCTTAGCAAATTGGATGAAAGCAAATGATTTGAAGGCGGTATGACTTCAAGGATGGGAGCGTAGGTGTCACCAGGACAAGCAGCGCTCAGACATGAAAGCTTTGCGTGACTTACATTCTTTCTTCTGCTTTTCTGAAGGGTAGGAAGAGTATCTTGAAAGATAGCCTGCAGAGCGGAGGGAAGCAGAGAATTAGATAAGAAAAATGTATATATCCGATTGGGAGAACTCCTCAAGCGCCTGAAGTTACAGGGCATTCTGAAGTCACGCACAGGGCAGAGCCTGATGGAGGCAGCATGCACTCAGCTGCCCAAGAAGCAAGTCTGCCACCACAGAGCGAATGAACCTTTCCATGAGCCAGTGGATGTCACTTAAGTTCCATGCAAATCACTGAGTTTGAGGCCAGCCTGGGCTACATAGTATGGGCCTGCCTAAAAATACTGTTTTCTTTGTCACCCAGGTGATATGATTACTCCTTTTGTATGATAATCATACCCAATTAATCTTGTAATTGTCTTATACTATTAGACTGTGTAGTGTTTGATACATTGTGTCAACTTGAGAAGAGCCCAGCTTGACTGAATCCCAGCAATTCCACAGCCTAGGGTGTGTGAGACCCTTCCCTAGGGCATGGAGGTCCTGCCCAAAGTGACTCAGCACTTAAAGGATACATAAGGGCGATTGAGGAAGGAAGGTTCACTCCACTTCCTTGGTCTTCACAGCCACGCACTTCCTTGGGAGAGCTTGGATCTTCACAGTCAGTGTGGAAGGAAGGGACAGAGGCTTGCTAGAAGTTGCAGCTGTGGTCTTCCCTTTGCTTTGCTATTTTCTGCCGACATAAACTGCTGCCCTCTGCCATGTGCCAAGCTACCTTGGAGCCAGTGAAGTATGGACTGAAACCTCCACAATCTGTGAGCTCAATAATCCTTTCCTTCCTTCATTTTAGGTGTCAGATATTTTGTCCCAGCAAGAGAAAAGTAACTAAGATGACTTTTGATTAGATGTTCTCAAAAAAGTGAATATATTCTAGTTCTTAAGAACCTGGTTTTCTGAATTTTATTAGTACTTTAAAATACTAGTGCTTAATTAAAGGCAATTAGTTGTATTCTAATGAGATGAATTTCAGAGTCATAATAAAACATATGCTGCCATTTATCCCTGTGGTATATTTTGGGTACAAACACTATTTGCAGTTCTTTAGTACAAGGTCCTGTGACTTGAAGACAACTTTACAAATTAGTGGGTTGTGTAGCTCAGATTGTAACCTGAATTCTAAATCTAAATCTCAATCAATTTGTCATCCCAATACTATAAACACTGAAAGACCAATTCTGGTATGGCCCGTGCTGACTAGCAGTTAGGAGTCCAGCTTGGAGAGTCAGAGAGTCAGTTGTGGTGAGGCATGCCTATAATCCCAGCACTCTGGGGGCTGAGATAGGAGGATCACTGTGTGGTAAAGACCAGCCCAGGCTACTAAGTGAGCTCAAGGCTAACCTGAACTGCATGGTGAAACCCTGTCTCAAAAAGACCAAAAAAAGAAAAAAGAAAGAAAGAAAGAGAAAGCCCAAAGGGGGGGGGGGTAGAGAGAAATACTATGCAACTATATATGAGGAAATAGTGATATTAAATGATAGTGAATTATTTCATGAGATCTACACTATATATATATATATATATATATATATATATATAGCCTCTGCCTCCCAGAATGCTGAGATTATGGACATGTGCTACAATGCCTGGTTCTTTTACATTTTTTGCCCTGCATACACATATGTCATATATGTTGAATCTGATGTTTGCAGTACATGATGATCACACTCACTGTGGGAAACTGGTTCCCATCAGACACTGATGGCCAGAGTCACACATTTCCAAGTACAAATCTTTTTTTGTGGTACCAGGGATTGAACTCCTATATATGCAAAACAATGTATGACTTTTAAAAATTCAGAAAAAAAATGGCAAAGACCTATATATGCACACCTAAGTGGGAATTATCAAACTTAAAATTTTACCACCTGTCTAGCTGTCTGTACAGTATAAACACTCACAGGAATGACTAAAATCTCAGTCAAATGTACAGACTGGTCCAGAGCTGCCCCTGTGCACCGTCTGTGAGGGTGCTGGGAAATGTCTCTGTGATAGTTTGGTTCATGATTTTTATCCAAACACAAGCTAGTGATCAGTGAAGAGTATACTTTATATAGTTTACCAATTTTTCTTAGTTTTAGTTGTTTAATTTCCTGCCCTGAAGAGCCAAAAGAATGATTAAGGAAGCTTCTGCTCTCCAAGAGCTTCCAGTGCCAGAGGAATAGGAGGTGCACAAATACCTGGATCCAGCTGGCAGCTAGAAGGAAGTGCAGGAAGTATCTCCTATGCATTTGCTCTCATGCAACTGAGAAATAGCATCTCTTAAAGGAGGAAGTAATAGAAGGAGGAGGACATATGGTGGAAGGAGCAGCAGGTGTGCAACAGGAGCGGCGAAACGGGCAGATGAAGAGAATTGGAAGTGCGATGGTCACCGGGTTCCCGGATGTCGGATCTACACCAGGTTCAGACTGTCAGCTAGGACTGAAGCAGTCAAGTCTCCAGAGTAACTCCCACAAAGGCAATGGATAGAATGCCCAAATGCCTATGCCCTGAGATTAGACAGCTGAATAAATTGACAGTAGATTAGGGATAAATACACACACAAAAGCAAAAGGCAATTGTTAACTCCAGGAAAAGCAAAAAGTCAAAAGGCAGGGGAAGATAAATATGATGTGCCCAACAGTCAGTTTTAAGTAGGATTTCACCATCAATAGAATCAGTAAATATAAATTGCTATTGGGGAATGGGATAGATGCCACACTAGGCCAGGATGAGGAGAGAAATATGATGTTTTCAATTTCTATAGCAAAAAGTCAATAAATGAGCAAACGAGGAGATCAAGTAGTAGGAACTTTTTACTAATATGTGTTTGCAGTACATAATGTTCCTTGTGGGAGGTTGGAACATGTACATAACATGCCTTAAGTCTTTTTACGTCCCATTCCCTTCCCTCCCTCACTGTGTGAGAAACATCTGACTCCCTACCTCCAATTAAAATCAAAAATAAAAGTGAAGGTCAGATGGGTTAATCATAGCACTTAGGAGGCTGAGACCAGAGGACTGCTGTGGGTGTGAGACCAGGCTGAGCTATGTAGTGAGACCCTGTCTCAAATAAATAAATAAATAAATAAATAAATAAATAAGATTCTGCATAGTACATGAATAATAGTTATGCAAATTTTGAAAAGCTACAATAAACAAAAATACTCCATTAGTCTATAAATAGGCATGAGTTGTGTATAAATGTAAAGTCATATAAAGTTGAATGAAAGGAAAAGAATCAAATTAACATGAGTGGCTTCTGCTGCTAAGTGCAAAGCAGGAGGATGGTGTGGGGGTGGTTAAAAAGAACTTAGCTTGGTATGGAACCTCTTATTTCTATTTTTTAAAAAGCTGGGTTGGGGATATAGCTCGGTGGCATAAGGGCTTGCCTTGCAAGTGTAAAGTCCTGAGTTTGATTCCTGGTACCAAAAAAAAAAAAAAAAAAAAATCCTTAAAGAATGTCCTTTATAGCTGGGCATGGTGGTGCACACCTATAATCCCAGCAGCACTCAGAAGGCTGAGGCAGGAGAATTGTTGCAAGTTCTAGACAAGCCTGGAGGGCCAGCCAGATAGCTCAGCGGATTAAAGCACCTGCTTAAGTAGACACAGAGGCTGGGGGTTGATCCCTGCCCTGCCACGTGGGGCCCACCCGTGGGGCAAGCTGAGATGAGACTGGGCGTGGTGGCGCATGGCTGTAATCCCAGCACTTGGGAGGCTGTAAAACAGGAGCGATCACTACAAGTCCAACCTGTGTAGTGAAACCCTATGGACCCTGAACTAAATATGTTTTGAAAAATTAAACAACAACAAAAAAAAATCTAGACCAGCCTGGGCTACAAAGTGAGCTTAAGGTCTGCCCCAGACTCATAGCAAGATTATGTCTCAAAATTAAATAATAAATAAATGACTGGGAGCTGATATGATTAATAGATATCAACTCCAGATAGTGAGCATAGACGTGTTTTTTCATCTTTTTTCCCCAAGTAAACAATATCATTTTTAAATGAAAGATCTCTATAACCAGAACTTGTGACTAGAATTCTGCTAAGAAAATAGTGTCTTTGGTAAGGGTAGACTTGGAAGAACATGTACACGTACGTTAAAGGAGAAGCTGGCCGTGGTGGTGCACAAGTGTAATCAATAGCTAGGCGGGAGGCTGACGCTGGAGATTCCCGAATTCAAGCACAGCCTGGGCAACTGCGTGGGACACTGTCTCAAAATCCAAAAGTAAAACTGTTTTGAGAGTAGTTCAGTGATATACAGCAGCCCTTGTTTCAATTCCTACCTTTAAAAAAAAGAGTAGAGGAGAAGGAAGCAAACATGGTGACCTGGATTCTCCGCTGAGTTTGCTCCATAGTCAGATGGCTCTAAGGCTCTTTCCTGCGTAGGATCTTTGCAAATGTTAGAAATTCACAGCCCCTCCCACCCCCGAAGACTCGCACACTTCCCCAGCCAACTCTCAGGCATTTTTCAGATTCCAGTTTAAATATGACTGCGCGGGAACGTGTTCCTGACTCTCCCGGCCCGTTAAGTCAGGCACTGCAATGCATTTGGGATTATACTCTGCTCGCCTGTCTCCCTGCCAGCATTTACATTCCATGAGCGCATTTTTCCAGTTTCTCAAAGCAAAACCCTGGAAGTCACACTGGCCGGCTCTGTCCCTTCCCATGGGCAATTGACAGCAGGCCCTATGGGTGCCACCTTGAAAGTGTGTCCAGAGCCTGCCCGCTTTCGGGCACCAGCTCTGGTCCCTGGTCACTACTCCCCCCCCCCCTTCCTCCTACAGATCTTCCTCTGCCATTGGATCCTTTGCAAAATAAAGCCAACAACGCTGTTTCAACGGATGTAGCTGCGCGGTGGAGCCCTGGCCTTGCACGTCCAGTCCTGGGTTCCATACTTAGGTCACAAAAGATGAAAAGGAAGAAAGAAAAAAAGCCACGCTTTCACTTTCCATCACGCTCCAAACAGACAGCAGAGAGCGTACCTGGGCCTCTAGCCTCATCGTGCACCGGCCCTGCTGCCTCTGCTTCGCATCCCTGACTGTCTGGCTCCGAAACCCCGACAGCGCCAAGCTCCCGAACCTGCCCTCCTCTGGCTTCCTGAAGCCGCGCTGCTGCCCACGAAGCGAGTCGGAGAGACCAGAGCTCATTCGTCTCAGGCTACATCACAACACCTACAGTCCAATCCTCTCAAAGCAAGTCACAAAACCTAGAAGGGTCACCGAGTTCCTTTTCCCTTGAAGACCCTGGTTCCAAAGGGGCCTAGCCCCACGGACCAGCAGAAAGGAGCCCCTGGGCGACCGCCTTGGCGGGTGCTCCCTCGGTCAGATCCGTTCGTGCAGCTGTCTGGTCTCATCCAGCCTAGATGCAAAAGTGGCCAGTTTTCTCTGAGTCTTTAGCTCTCATTTCTAAAGGCGCCGGCATCGCTTAAAAACTTTGACTAAGTGAACTTCTTGGGCTCTTTCGTTAGTTAACATGCCTTTTGTTGTGGAAGTGGTGATTTTTATGTCGGTAAAGAAAGGTATCACCTGCATGGACGATTACTCTTAGACCTAATGAAATAAGAGGTCATAGCCAGGTGTGGGGGTGTACATTTGTCATCCCGTCACTCCAGGAGGCCAGGCGGGAAGGTGGAAATTTCACAAAGCCCACTCTGGGCGATGCACGGATTTTGTAAGAACTTGCCTCAGAATTACACATGCGTACACACGCACGCACGCATGCACGCCACACAATGGGGATGTAGCTCAGTTCAGTCCCCAAACATCTGGATAAAAACAAAGTCACATCTAACAAGTGGAACCTCTCTGATGAGCATGCTATTCAAAACACAAGTTTGGTTTTACGCTCTACACAAACTTTATTCTTATTAACGTTCTTTTGATTCCCCTTAATTTTTTGCACTAGTTTAGCACACATTAGATATTCATTGAATGAATACAAGATCCCCCACAGATTGTGTTTTTAAAAGCTAGGGTAAACCCAGTAGGGAAAAAAAAATATGCATTTTGGTTTTGACATTGATTTTTTAGTTTTTATTCTTTTAAAATCAAAATATACCTGGTAGAAAAATAAGAAAATAGTCTTTGAAAAAGTTTAATTGAGGGAGTGGGCTAATCATCTTCCAGAACATTAAGCCAATCTAAACAGAAAGGTATTTTCAGCTTTAAAGAGTTGTTCTTGTGCATGCAGAATTATAAATGGCCTAATTTTCCCTATATCTCCATAATTAACAGAATAATTATTGATCAGCACAAAGCACATAGTCTCTGGAGACATGATTTGTGTCAGTGCTTAGCTTTTGGAACGCTCAAATCACTGAAGTCAGTATTAAAAAAATGAATTGATAGTAAATGTGGTATAATTAATCCACCTATTCTGTTTGCACATGAGCATCTTTTTGTGCAAAATATCTCATTCATTTAGTAGAGAATACAAATTTATCACAATGACAGAATAAAATATAAAGTGGAACTTTATTTTCCCGCAATGCTTGCTTTTAATTTATCCAGACCTCTTTTTTTCTTATTTTCTTTTTGTTTGAGATAGAGTTTCCCTTTGTTGCCCAGACTGGTCTTGAACGTTTGGTGACCCTCTTGCCTTGGCTTCCCAAGCGCTGGGATTGCAGGCCTGCACCACCATGCCTGGCTTTCAGACTTTTCACAGAAAGTACAAGTTTAAAATATTTCTCAGAAGGGCCAACCAGATAGCTCAGCAAACTAAAGTGCCTGCTTAGGCAGAACGCAGGAGCCAGGGTTCGATCCCCAGTGTGCCGTGCCAGCCCCGTCCCCAGGGCATGCTGAATCCCCGTGCTTGGGAGGCTGAAAACAGGAGGATCACTATGACTCTTGATCTATGTAGTGAGATCCTATAGATCCTGTAAATCCTGTCCTAAATACCAAAAGAAGGAAGGAAGAAAGGAAGGAAGGGAGGAAGGAAGGAAGGAAGGAAGGAAGGAAGGAAAGAAAGAAAGAAAGAAAGAAAGAAAGAAAGAAAGAAAGAAAGAAAGAAAGAAAGAAAGAAAGAAATTTCTCAGGAGGAGCCCGGTCAGATCAGGAAGACTGAGGACTGGCCCTCTATCCTAGGACAAAGGGAAGCCACTGAGAGGTGACTGGAGATGGCTTCTTCTCAACGGTTGCCATACAGACGAAAAGTCAGTTAGCAGAAGGTGGCTCAGGGTCAGGGCTTGTTTGGGTGGTGCAGACAAGAGAGGATGGTGGCCATGCCAGGGTCCTGGGCTGACAGCCTGCGTGTAAGTGGCACAGGACCGCAGACAAGGGGGATCAAAGCCAGCGAATGTTTGAATAAAACAATTACAGCAAAAATAAACAAGTACATGAATAAAAACATGTCTCAGCTTTTATCTGCAAATGGCAGGTGCAAAATGCACACTGGGAGGAGAATTTAAGTGCCGCTCTGCATCCTGTAGGAGTAGCAGGTGCCGTTGGTGGGGGTGCGCCCTCTCGGCTCCTCCCCATGTGTCAGAGTAGACCTTCACCTGCAGGCTCCTTCTCAGACCCCACTGCATCACTTCCTCCCAGGCATAGCTAGTGGGAGGTACCCACGAAAGGAAGAAGAAGGCAACCAGGATGTGTTTCCCATCCTTTTGTGCCCAGGCAGTCTCAAGATGTCCAAAGCACTTGCCACTCCTTTGTACCCCCAGTTACCTAGCCATGGGGGTACACACCAGTAACAGCAGCCTTAAGGCAGCAGAGTCAGGAGGATCACTGCGAGCTCAAGGCCAGTCTGTGCTATGAAATGGGTTCGAGGCCAATCTGAACTACATAGTGAATCCCTGTCTCAAAGCAAACAAACAGACAGATAAAAAAGTACTGGCAGTCTTGTCGGGCAGCTTTGGTTTCTGCACAGCGATGCCACCATCTCCCTTTGCCCTTGGATCTTAGGAGAAAAGTCACATTTTGCTGCTGCTAATCTATGAGAACTTCTACTGTCTTCACTTTTCTGTGTTGTGTGATATCAATTCCTGTATTAATTTTCTCTGTTATGTATTTTTATTTTGAACTGAGGATTTTATTTATTTATTTATTTATTTATTTATTTATTTTTGTATATTAGGGAAGGGTCCACAAGGTGTTCAAGGTCTCACTACTAGATTGGACTTGTAGTGATCTTAGTGACCCCTCTGTTTACAGCCTCCCAAGAGCTGGGATCACAGGCGCGCCACCACACCCAGTCTCGATTGCTGTCTCAGCAAACCCCAGGGACAGGGCCAGTACGGCAGGCCGGGGTATCAAACCCCCAGGCCCTCCACATGCTTGCAAGCACTTTAATCCTCTGAGCTATTTGGCTGGCCCTCAAACTGTGGATTGAACCCAGAGCCTTCACACTGAGCTACATCCCCAACCCTTTCACATTTCTCATTGTGAGGTGGGGTCTCATTGAATCACTAGATTGCCCAGGTTGAGATCAAATCTCAAATCCTCCTGCCTCCCTCAGCCTCTCCAAGGCCTGGAAGGCAGATGTGTGCCATCTTACCCAGCCTATTCCAGATATTTAAATCAGTTTGTGTTTCCCTGCTTCTACCCAGCTAATAGTATACACTGCTAGCTTCTCTTGCTAGGAAGAGAGGAACCTAGCTTGCCTGGCTTACTGCTATATCCTTTTTTTGTTTGTTTGTTTTTTGTATTTTAATACAGGATCTTACAAGGTCTGACTACACAAATGGGACTCGTGGTGATCCTCCTGTGTTCAGCCTCCTCCTAGGCGCTGGAATTACAGGCACGTGCCACCACACCCAGTCTCAATCACCATCTCAGCACGTCCTGGGAGTGGGGCCAGCAAGGCATGCCAGGAATCGAACCCTGGTCACTGGGCTCTGCCTAACCAGGCTCTTTAGTCCGCTGAGCCACCAGGCCAGCCCTAACCTTGTAGTGAAATGAGTGCCAGGTCATATTAAGCAATCAGTGGAAACAAGCTGCGAAGGTGGGTGGAATGTATATCCTGCAGTCCAGCAGTTCTCAAACTTCACCAAGCATCTAACCTAGAATGGTTGTGACACAAGTTGCAACTCCTTTCCATCTCCCTTCCCCAAGTTTCTACTTATTAAATCTCAGATAAAGCTCCAAATGTTGCATTTCTAACAGGTTGCCAGATAACACTGATGCTGCTAGTGCACCAAACGCATGGCCAGGCCACATGTGGGTGTGCATATAATCCAATCCAGGCGTCCACGCAGGCATAAACATCTGCATCGATGAGCTTTCACATTTATATTCAGAATACGTGAGGTGACCTGGCCTCCCTCTCCAGTTACTGTCATAACACTAAGCATTTTCCATGGTGCAGTGTCATCACATTTTTCAGTGCTGGAGTCCCCTTCTGGAGGGGCTGTCTAGGTTCTTTCTGAAATCCTGAATGAAGAACTGATTCAGACAAGCACAAATGGTGGCAAGTTTTTATTCACTGTAGGAAAAGAAACAGGTAATGCAGAGCGAGTTTGGGCCATGTAAGAGGAAAGTAAGTATGACGCACAGGAGAGAGCAGGCTGCCAGGTGGGGACACAGCACAGAGACCCCAGCGTGGACCACGCTCCTGGTGTCGCCCATCCCCCGGGATGACATCAGGTCCAGGCCACCCTATCCGAAGTTAGTAACACGTGACACGTGACACTTGGTCTTGTTTTGGCCAAATACTGAAGAAGGAATGAAAATGAAACATACTGTACAGGGAAGGGCTTGTGTTCTTTTGTTCTTTATAAGGATTCCAAAAAAGGGGAAGTTATACAAAATAATTCATACTTAAAAATTCATCAGTTCTCATTTAAAGCAAACATCACTAACAAAGAAAAAATTATTCCTATTGATGGCCTGCTTTTTGCCATGAGAAGAATAAGCTCAAATTACTAAAGATGGCATGTGGTGTGTCTCTCTCCACCGGGATGGTGTGGTGTGGTCAACGCTGGTCTGCACAGTGGAGCAGATCGCGTGCCGGTGTCCTACCATGTGACCCCTAACACCCACACAGTGCCTGAAAGATACAAAGACACCCACCCTACTCACTGGCTAAATAGAAAAAAGGATGAGCCCATTAATTACCAAGTTATTATGAGATGCTTTGGTTTTCATCATACCTCATGTCCAAGAAAATTTTGTTCTCATCAGTTTCTCTTATTTCCCATATTGCTCTCTGCCCACAAGACTCCCACTTGTTTTCATAAAAATCTTTATATCTAGCAAGGATACAGCAATTTGGCAAGACTCTAATTAACAAGGCTTGTGATGACATAAAGCTATTAAACTGGGCTGAATCTCTGAGGATTTGTAAAAGAGCACAATCATATCATTCCCCAGACTAAATTAAGATACGATCTAGGAGTTCTCTTTGATTTCTCTTCACTACCTTCCTTTCACAAGTTCCGTGAACTTTTCCTTTCACAAATGGGTCTTAAATTAGCTTCACAGACCCCTTCCAGGCCTGAACCTCTCTCTTCTCTGACCTAAACATCAGCCTGCTATCCTTGTCTCCATCACCACCACCTTTTTTGCCATGTGGTAGCTGAGAGGATCTTTTTTAAAAAGAAAGACAAAGGAAATCCTTTGAGAACTTTACTTCTGATAGCTTTTGACTTTTGAAATTAACCCAGGTTGGCCTTGGGTTTGTAGGGATCCTCCTGCTTCAGCCTCCTGAGTGCTGGGATTATAGGTGTGTGCCACCACGCTCAGCTAAGTCTTCATTTTAAAAGTAAAAGAGACCACAAACAAAATTTGAACACTACTTAGAAAGTCTGGTTTTATCAACGAAATTAACCATCATGGCTAAGTGTGGTAATACATCCTGTATTCCTGGGGAGGCCGAGGCAGGAGGATTATCTTGAGGCCAGCCTGGTCAGTAAGTACAAGGCCAGCCTGGATGACAGAGAGAGACCCTGTCTCAAAAAAAAAAAAAAAAAAAAAAAAAGAAAAAGATTAAACATGACACACACCATGCACGAAGTCTGACTAGGAAAGCGACATAATCTGAGTTTTACTTTGGTAAGCTCCCTGGGCTGCTGACATGGAAGCTTCCTATCAGCCAGAAGTGGGAGAAACCAGGACCAAAAGAACGCTCCCCTGCCAGTGGTTATCCTCCCAGCAGTGCAGGCAGCACAGAGCCAGGTAAATTAGAGTGGACTCTGGTACCCATAGAATCTTCTGGAGGATGGGACAGGAGTCAGGGGAGAGAAGTCAAAGACGGCTGCAAAGTTCTTGCACTGATTCACCAGCAGGAGTGGGAGTAAACCAGAATAGGAAAGGACGACTTCAGGAGAGACGTGGTGGAGGGAGTTTGCTTTCACAGACAATGAGGTCCAAACAGAGAGGTCAGGGGACATCGTGAGAGCAGGCGGACCTGCGGCAGCGGGCACAGATCCGGAGTCGGCTCTCCTCAGAGGCCCCGCAGCACTCAGGCTTGGCCTCTGCTCTTTTGCTCTTGCTTGCATGTGGTTCTCCAAGTTTCGGCACAGAGCATTTAAAAATAGAAACGAATGCAACGTGTTTTAAGCACGCACAAAAATAGAAAGTTTAAAATGGATGTTCTCCTTGCGCAATCTAATTTTCTGAGGAAATCAGAGGGAAAATATTCGCACTGCTTACCTTTTCTGCTATCTAAAATTGAGGATGAATGCCAAATAGAAATGTGCTACTGCCACAAAACAATCACTCTTCTCGCCTTAATAGTACTCTAAACATTGGAAAATTTTTATTTTCAACAGCATTGTATTTGCTCTCTGTCTCTCTCATTCTCTCTTTTTCTGTCTCTGCCTCTTTCTGTCTTAATAGATCTCATAAACATACAGGCAGCAAAATATTTGCACATTGGGGTCGAGAGTGCAGGAACTTTGTAATGAAATTGCTAAGTCTGTGTGTTAAAGCAGAATACATTCTTTTTTTCACTGTGAGAATTTTTTTTTTTTTTCTGAAAAGGCTCCTGCTTCCCAGCTAGATGGCTGGAGAGATGATCAGCTGTGACGAGGGAGGAAAGGATGCCAAGCTTCCCGTGTGCGCGTGCACATTTCTTTTGCTCATAATTAATAGCCCCCGTGCTTGCTAAGGCTTTGGAAAGCAGCTAGAAGCCTACCCAGGTAATGCCTTCTGACAACGTTTTAAAGATCAGTTATGTCATATGGCTGCCTTTTAGAAAAAAAAGTCATAATGCATAGCTGTGCCATATGGCATCTCTGAAGAATGTGCCGGATTGGACAGACATTCGTTGGATAAGGTCCCACAGCACTTGGAAAAGAATGTAGTCCTGTTGCCAAAATGTGGCCTTTGTTAATCTCCTAACTATTATTGTGCAGAAACCAATTCATCTGTATTAATTATAAACAAATTTTAATTACTTCAGTAAAAGCCCATTATACTGATATCTGATGCCAAACAAGCTGTATTAACTCTTTGCAAGTCTCCAAAGCAAACATGAGGTGTTGGAACGTAGGTGTTTTATACAAGGCAGGAATTTCCCCGGCAGAGTGTAAAAATGCAGTTCTGACATTTCGTTTTCCAGTTCTTTTAAGAAATCCCGTGATGCTTTTGCTTTTTGCACATGATCTCAAAAGGCAGCTGATGCATGTTAAAGACAAATTATTCCTAATGTCTGAGAGTGTTTAAACATACTTTGTATTATTTTTGCTTAGATTGCAAAGGTTTTTTTTTTTTTTATCTGAATGGTAAAGTAATGGTTTGCATAACACAAAACAACTTGACAAAACGTGTCCTGGCTTTGCAAAAACATGCGCACCACCCAGTCATTTCGGGTAGTGCTCCCGACCGTATGGACTGAACTATCCTGTGCATCAAAGTAGAATATCCTTAAAAAGCATGAAAATCCAAGTCACTTGTGCGTTTTATGGCAGCAGCTTAGCCAAGAAAGCTGGCTGGTCCTTCCTGCACAGAAACTATCTGGTTTGCAGATGACACATGGCGGCTACAGCACGCGCAGCCTGGGGGTTGGACGGGCTCCAGCAAGGACGCATCTGAGAGCGGCCGCGTTGGAATCATCCTGGAGTTCGGCTTCGCTAATGTGTAGCTTTATTTTATTAAGCCAACCATCAAAAGTTTCAGTTTCTCCTGGAAATCATTCCTTTTGGTATTTCTATCACTCCTTGGATGGAGAAAGTTAAACAATTTTAAACAAATAGAACCACATCCTGCCTTCTTCTTCCATTAGACTTTGAAGTTGTTCATGTAAACTTTGTTTCTTTCTTGTTTTATACAACAAAATAATTTATTTTTATATTCATAATGGGTGAATTCTAGAAAGCATTGGCCTCTGTGCATTTTCATTGATGGGTGCATAGAAAAGAGCTTTAAACTAAGTCATAAACATCAATGGGCATAGAGCTGGCTGATGATGTGGAAATGGATGAACGTTTAAGTGAAACCGATTATCCCAGAGTTTGGATATTTTTTTGTATGTCAATTAAATGCATTATGTAGTTAAAGCTTTGTTAAGTTCTCTCTCCTACCCAAAAGCCATTATTATAAATTTCTGTCATGGCCCCATGTACTTTGTATTTCAAACATAAAGTTATAGCACTTTTAGCAGGGTATGGTGCTATCCCAGAACTCAGGAGGCTGAGGCAGGAGGATCATGGATTCGAGGCCAGCCTGGCTACAAGGTGAAACCCTGTCTTAAAACAAACAAATAAAGTCACAACAGGCGCAGGGGCTGGGAGTTTGATCCCCGGGCCTGCCGTGCTGGCCCCGCCCCTGCGGTGCACTGAGATGGTGCTTGAGACTGTGGCACACACCTGTAATCCCAGCACTTGGGAGACTGTAAACAGGAGAAACACTACCAGTCTGTTCGATCTAGTAGTGAGTCCCTGAATACCCTGTAGACCCTTCGCTAAAATACAGAAAATAAATAAATAAAGTCACAACATTCTTTACCTTGGGTCTGAACATCTCTACTGAACTTTTTAGGATATTTCCCTTATCCTTCACTTTACAGGTGAGAAAATTAAGGTATAAAGTGAAAGGGCTTACTCACAGACCTAGAGCTAAGTAATGGAATCATAAGAACATATTTCTAAACTCCACATCCAATATTATTTCCACTGCCTCAATTTAGTTATCAGCAGTGAACAGATTTATCCTGAGTACTAAAATATGAAATAATGACCATAAACTACAGAGCTTCTGTACATGTGAATTAATTTCACGTTTTGTTTAGCTACCATAGAGATTTATTTCCTTCATTTGGTAAGTGTTAAGCATTAACACATAGGTACAAAGTTTGGAGGGCATCTTGTGGATGGGATGAATGGAATTTGGGGTGGACAGAGGGCAAGATGCTGCGTCCTAGGACCCAGGACTCACCAACAACTTATCATTCAGGGGAGCTACTTGGCCTCTCTTCAAATTAGAGTTTAAAAAGGATCATTCCAATCTAAATTGATACCCATAAGTTATCAGCTTCATGCCTCCCTTATCATAAGTATTAACAGGAATTCTTGGACACAAATGAATGAATTAAAGGGAAAATAAGTTCTAGAGAACACAAAGATCTGGTTCCATGTCACAGAATCCAACTGAGGCATGGCTGAAGCACAGCCTGCCGCGTGCTGCTTCTGTCAGGCTTCCACCACTCACTAGGGGGTCCCTCCCAAGTGGATCTCCATTTACTCAAGGCAAATCTCCTGCACCCCTAACTTCTTAGATGATACCATCAAAAATTAAGCTTATTTGTAGAAATGATAAAAAATAATTGTGAAGAAGCTTGTTTTCCAAATAGCACCTTTTTACTTGTCTTAGTGGGATTTATAAACACCATTTCTCCTAATCTTTTGAACTTTTGTTTAAATAAGAACTAGAGACGATAACAAGAAAATACTGACCACGGTATTCTAAACAGTGAAACTATGACATTGCAGGAGTCCTTACCAACACGCAGCCAGTGACCTTTCTGTAGCTGAGAAGGTGGAGGATCCACTCAGCATACCACAAGCTGTCTCCTTGGAAGGATGTCTGCCATTGCTCCAGCCTCATGAAGGAGCTCCTTCCACTCTGCAGGACACACAGGATTGAAGAGCAGTGGGCAGAGGTGAGAGGTGAGATCCACTGGATGGAGACGGAGTAGGAGTGTGGGAGTGCGGGACGGAGAACCAAAGGAATCATAAAATCATGCACTGCATATACATTTCTCTTTTCCTTTCTCCACTTTCAGTTTTAGTATGTTTTGTGCTCTGATAACAAAATACCTGAGTCAGGACGTTTTTTAAGAAAGAAAATAGGTAGTCAGGCATGGTGGCCCACACCCACAATTCCAGCACTTTGGAAGGCTGAGGCAGGAGAACCACAAACTTGAGGCCAGCCTGGGAAATTTAGTGAATGAATGAGACCCTGTGTTGAAATAAAAATTTATGGGAAGAAAGGTTTGTACTAATATTGTTTAGACAAGATATCATGTCTGCATCTTATCCTCTGAATAACCACTCCAAAGACAACATTATGCAATGTATTAATTATTGTAACTGTCCTACTGACCTGTTTTGAAACTGTTTCCTTGCTATTTATCTTTTCTCATTAAAATGAATAAAAAAATAATAAAATAAAATAAAAATTTTAAAAAGGCTCGGGATGTAGCTCCATGTAAGGGCCTTGGTTCAATCCCCAGTACACATGTTCAGGTTTGTTGGTGCCTGACTCCAGTGACTGGAAAACCTAAACATCACAGAGCCAGGACTTAGCAAGAGCCCCACCCACATCCTGCCATGTCACCACACAGTAGAGAAGCATAAAGGAGTGGTCCTGTGGGAACTGTATGAATCCTCTCCGGGTTGTGAGCCCAGGACGGCATCGCTTTCCAATAGGCCAGTGTTAGTCACTCTGCTCTGTAGCAAACACCTGAGTTCATCATCTCATAAACACCACCATCTTTCCTTGGCTCATCGTGTGAGAGGATTTGCTTCACTACTGCTGGCCTATTGCTTGACATCTGTAGACAAAGATGAGGCAGAAGCTTAGGGTGGAGCAAAGCTCTCACCTCCTGGTCCAGAAGCACACAGGAAGAGTTTACAAGGCCCCCCCAGGCCCTCTGAGGGCGCAAACCCAGTCCCAAAGACCTCTCAGCACTGAAAGGTTTTGCCATGTCCTGTAGCACTTCCTGGGGAGGCAAACACCCACCACTGAGATCTTTGCAAACCAGAGCAAGACTCTGAGAGGGCTGCCACCCAGGGGTCCCAGTGCGCTGGCACCAGGATACAGAACATGAACTCTTGGAAGGCAAACTCAAACCACTCCAGACCTCAGCCCTTTCCAGTCCAGATCTGAGTTAGAACACAACTTAGGAGGCACCTGGGGTGAAGCCATGGGGAGTCACTGAGGCTCCCTGAAGTATTTGAAAAGAAAGTTAGGAATGTACAGCAATACTGAAAAGGTAGAGGACTCAGGTCATCCTTTTGGGAATTGACTTAGGGTTTGGCGTCCACAAGATGAATGAAGAATGATTTACTTCATGAGATTTACACAGTACAAATCTTCAAGGGAATTGGCAAACGATCTCCCAGTCAAAATCTCTCAAGACCTAGCCATGACCATAAACAACTAAACTGTAGGTGCAGAAGGTGTCTATTTTGCTATTAGTGACACTGGAGTTTGGATAATTCTGTATGTTTTGTTGCTGTCTTATTTTGATTTAATCAGTACATCTTTGCGGTACATAATTGTCACATTCATTGTTGGGAGCTGATACATCTTGACAGACAATACTCATGGAGGCCAGTCCTATGTTCTGCAAGGTGTTGGTGGCACTACTGGCCTCTGTGCTGTGCCATTTCCCTTAATAGAAACATCTCAGACACTACCAAATGGCTGTTGGGAGGCAACACTGTCTCTACGCATAGATCAGTGGCATCAATGTGTAACCCAGAAAGGGGGTTTATTGAAAAGTATGGAGTGCAACTGTCACTCTGTGTTCCCTCGCCTGTGGTCTGGTGACCTCCTGGTTGCCCCCCTCTGCTGCCCGTATGGAGTCAGTGGTGGTCTCCGCCCTTCCTCAGAGTTGGCATGGGCTGGTGCTGTGCACTGTTTCAAATTTGCAGCCCCCCCTGGTGGGCCACACTGCCTTTCCTGGTGGAGACAGTTGCCTGACTGGCTGCAGTGGAGAAGACAGGACACAGAGAAGAGCTCACTAAAACACGTCTCAGGTATGGTAGGAGTAAAACGGTCCATATTCTACATAGAAGGTAAGGGCACTGCTGGGCACACCTAGGGATAATGCCCAGGGAGATGGCGGCCTGCCCATCAACTGGAGGATAAGCAAGTACCTGCAGGAGCAAAGATCGAAGGCAGAACTTCAGCCAGCAGCAAGCCCCTCAAACTCAGTCCTGGAAAGGGCAGGTTCCACTGACAAGCACCCTTCCCATCCTGCCCACGGGAAGTGTGTCCCCTGTAACCAGCTGACGCCAAAGCATCTGAGCACCAAGTTGGTAGGAAACTGTTTTAGGCCTCTAGTGAATCCAGACTCATCTTGCCCCCTCTACGCAATTTCCCTTTCCCTCGCCCACTACACCCCTCCCCTCGGGTCTGTCCCACATGGTGTCTTACAATCAGGCCCTGGAAAGGGGAGAGTTACAGCCAAAAGCAGCAAGAAAATGCCACAGAACTGGCAGTGTTTGCTGCAGAAGGAGCCAAGGCATCTGCTTTCGAGCAGGGCTATGAAGTAGAGCCACGGGGGGAAGGAAGGCTATTAGGCCACCAGCAGCCAGGGAGGAAGCCACAGGAAGCAGATTAAAGTCTGAGAAGACTTGGAACTCGGAGTAATGGATCAGTGGAAAGAGACAGAAAAGCCAGGGTTGGCATATGGATCCACTTGAGGGGTGCTGGTCGTCAACCCAATAGAAGCCTCCACAGAGCCTGGGGCCGGGATGGTTGGAAATGGGTGTCATGGGGGTCCTAAAGCACTTTCCCAAGAGCTGTGGCAAGAACCCACAGAGGGGTCAGAGGTGGCAGAACAGGCAGAACAAGCTGCTGTGCGTTCAGTGTTGGGAGCTTGCTTTTGTGCCAGGTCATTTCCTAAAATAACCTCCGGTTAATTCAATAGGTCATTTTCACAGGGACGCGCCGCCTCCGGTTCTGTGGATCACGCAAGGATCAAACCCAAGGGAGCTCTACCACTGGCTTACATTCTTAGCCCTTTTCATAGCTTCTGATTTTGAAATAGGCACTTGTTAAGTTGCCCTGGCCACACTTGAGCTCACGATCCTTCTGCCTCAACTGCCCAGAGTGCTGGGATTACAGACATGCGCCTCACACCCAGCTTTTGTATGATTCCTGTTTCTCTCCCCTTCCACACACTGAGTGGACAAACTCTCAGACCCAGTAAATGAAACCAAGCGGTTAGTGGTCCTCCGGCCTTCTTGAGTATACTGGGTAGGGCTCCTGTATTGATCCACAGTTGGAGTGCAGGCTGGCAAGCGCTCTCTAAATTCTGCTGTCTCCTCTTTTCTTCTGCCCCATTGGTGGGTTCTCTGATGCTATAAACTGATAAGCTTAAAGAAAATCAGCAATTCCTAACTTGTTGGGCTTCTAGGATTCTTTCTGAGCCCTCCCCTCCCCTCCACACACCTTAGGATGCCTTATTTACATAACAATGTACCAAAATGCAGCAAACTTGCCCCTTTTGGAGGATTTCCCATTTCTAAGAAAGTGGAAGCAGTAGACAGATGTAGTCCTGCCCTTTGCCAGCGTGGATCTTGGGGTGGGCGGCAAACCTGGCTTTTAGCTGCGCTGAGATAGTATAGTTTGTGACTCCTTCACCAAATTTAGCGATAGTGTGGATGTGGATAAAGCGAAGTCTCCCCCCAGCACTCCCTTTGGTGGTGTGCTTTTATTTATTTCTACAAGTTACAAGAGAATTGACAGGGAGGCTCTATCCAGCCACTATTTTAAACTGAACGTCTTTGTAATTTATATTTTAACTTTTTTATTTTTGTATTTATTTTCTTTACTTTTGGTTGTTTAAAGACAGCATCTCACTATGTAGTTCCAGATAATCTTGGACTTGTTATGAAGCCCAGGCTGGTGTCAGACCCCAAACAATCCTGTTACACCCTCCTGAGTGCTGGGATTACAGGAGTGTGTGTGCCACTACATCCAACTCACATATATGTTAGAGATGTTATTTCCACTTTCCTCCACAACCCAAGGAGGCAATTCGGGTTGCCTTTGTAAATGTATGGGGCCTCCCAATGTTCCTGTCCTCTTCTTTTGTCAACAGAATCATGATTTCCTTTGGCTGTAACCTCAGAGGTGGGCATATGCGCTAATCAAAGTGCTGTGTTTTCAAGGTCCTGAGTTCGATTCCTAGTACCAAAAAAAAACCTCTGTTTTACAAGAACAGAAATATAAAGGCAACCCATACCACACCCACCTATTGTATCTGTGAATGAGTAGAAGGATAGGAAAATCTTTGGAGTTTGTTTGTTGCTGAGACCCATTTTCTTTTTCTATAATATACTATATTGATACTCCCACTCTAGTAAAGTAGAAATTGGTACACAAAATTGCTTAGTGGATTGGCACGTAGGCATCCCCTTGCCTCAGTCTCCCCAGTGCTGGATTTACAGACATGAGCAGGTTTAAGAGTCATGTCAGAATACAGAGATGAGGACGGAATGCTCCTTCCATGCAGTGGCTTCCTGGATTTTCACCCTTCTCACTGGGCTGGAGGGAAAGCCTCACCGTAACCTAGTGGTTCTGAAACTTTTTCAGGTCAGACGCTTGTGAGGTTCTGATGACAACCATAGCCATCTCCCAAGACTCAGTGGCTAAAACTTACATGACCTCCCTACTGTGTGCAAATTCCAGAGTTCATGACCTGCAGCACATTTAAAGACAAACGACAGGTCAGAAGATCATAGTGTAGAGTTCAGAGTTAAACATCGAAGTGGTGAAGACTCTTTTATGTTGTGGTTGAGCTGAGATCACATAGTGAACTAGTTCTCATGAAAAGATCCTTAGTATGAAGCTATTTGAATCAATTGTTCCAAGGATAGAAGGAATGAGCAGTAGTTGTGGTTAATTTCTGATATAAACACATGCAAGCTAGCCAAAGGCAG